ACACCGAGGGCGCTTTAACTTTGTGTTCATCGGAAAATCCTAATATTTCTTGGTCATCTTCATTTACAGTAGTTGTGGCTTCAGTATTATATAACAGTTCATCCGTTGTCAGCATATCTCTAAAGTTAGGTGGCGTCGGCCTTATGTCTGATAGGACCTTCCTAAATTGTACTGGATCTTGAAGATACGCTGATAAAGCGTGTGTAAATACTTGTGCCAGTTCTCTGATTTGTGGGGACGTTGCGAGCGGGTTCTGACTCATTTGTGTAGAGAGGTCATCTACTAGTTCATTATAAGTACTATTAGGGTCAAGTTTCATATTTTCTCGTAGATCTACATCGTTAGTACCATGTGCGAATAGGCTACTATATTTGTTAACAGTGTGCTGACGAAATAATGCCGGCAAACCGTCTTCTACGGCATCGTATTCATCGAATGTTGTAGTAGTACTTTCGTCATCTTCCGGTGTTGCGGTTGTTGCGAAATTATCCAGCCCAGTTGCGTAGTAAATGGCGAGAGAGTGGAGGGTTTTAGGTGTAAGTGATGGAGGTACAATAAGTCCTGGTCTGTTTGACAAATTGCCGTAGTATTTCTCAGTTAAGGTCGCTTTGAATGTGGGTTCTGTAGGTCCGTAAGCTTGGAAGTTAAGTTTACTTATCAACCTTTCTCTACGTTCTTGATACGATGGTTCAGTTGTTTCTGGAACGAAGTTTGTTGTGTAAGAGTTTACTCTATCCGATGACGATGATTCGATGTAGTCATCATCTTCACGTGTCACATCTGGTATTTTGGTAACAGACTCAAAACTATTCTTTGTTTCAATAGTAAGTTTCTTATCTTCAGGTTCGATGTTTGGTTTGCTTGTTGTAGTAAAAGCTTCAACGAACTTTTCAGTCTGAGTCGGTTTACCTAAAGTTTTATTTTTTTCTTTTTCAAGAAACTCTTTTAGTGAAGATATACCGGGTCTCGTGTACGGTTCTTGCTTGTAATTAATCTCGGTGTAACTTTTGCTATATGGAGCTGAAGTTACTGGTTTTGTTGTTGGTTTTATTGTTGTTTCTGGTAAATATTTATCTCTCAAGTTATATAGCGTAGTTAGATTTGAATTGGCTTTTGTTTTCTCCGGTGCTGACGTGAGGTTCGGAGTGTAGACTGGGTAAGGTCGATAGGTCTTGTTGTAGTCCTGTAAGTACTGGCGGTTCTGATTGCGTGCGAACGAGGCTGTTTCTGCCGCGACCTGCATTTCATTTAAACCTATAAAATTGCGTCTAGTAGAATACTCAAATATCGGTACAGTGGTCCTTTTTGGAACATTACCGAAGTTATTAGCTATCAGTTGCACTAAATTCTTCTTGCTTTCGACTGGTGTGGTGCCTTGAGTTTTCTGAGTAGGATTTGGTTCAGAGAATAAAGTTTGGAATCTTCTGGCTGATTTAAAACCGCTAGGTGGAATGTCGACTTTATATTTTTGATGTCTGAGTAGTTTTTCAGTAGTATTCGGAATAGGTGCACGTTTTGGTTCAGGCCTGATGCTGGACTCTTCGATGTGCTGGAGATTAGGGATCTTGACTGGACTGGGGGTCACCCTCTGGGTCTTCTTCTGCTCGTTTGAGTAGTATTCTGCGCTGGACTCATAGAGGGCGGGGGCGGAGGCGCAGTCCACCTTGAACCACCAGTCACAGATCAGGTGCGACTGGCTGAAGATGGTACCGTTAGGGCACAGGAACGAGATCTTACGAGATGTGTCACAGATGTGAAAAACCTGGAATATACGAGTTTATTTATTTAGTACATAGACAAAGAAGTTAAAAAACTAGGTGTATGATTTATTTTTTTTTCTGTCATATTTCGTAGAAATTGTCTATACCTGGCAATCGGTCTCCAGGTCTGCGTAGTATCCAGTTGGTACATTCTTGCAATTGAATCCTGTATTGGGGATGCTCGGGAACGCCGGAAAGTCAACTCCTGCACGGCCAATGATTCCTGGAAAGTTATTTCTTAACTTAGTTTTATTGAAAATAAAATCATACAACAACTTTAAACACAGTACTAGGACAGTTCTTTAGTAGTGTCTTATAACAATAGTTTTTCACCTTGATGTTCGACGACGTCAAGGTCGGGTTGTGTCTGGGCTGGTATGAGGC